AGCCATTGGGGGTCCTGCCTGGGAGGGACCCCGTGAGGAGCTGCGTGTTTGAGCTGGGTGGTCCTGACCCAGCTGTGCTGCACACCTGAAGTCACCGATGCTGATTTTGAGCAGAATGAGCTAGCCGTGCTGCAGGCTCCCGCCCCAATGCCTGACGCCTTCTCAGTCACCTGCTATGCTGGCGTTTAAGTGGGCGACCCTCATTTTGGGTTTTGGAGTCCAAAAAGATGGACTGGCACCATCACCTCCATATTTTTTTTTATGTGGAGAGACTGAGCCTTGGATGCTAATGGCTTGTCCAGGGTGGCACAGACTGGAGCAGGAGTCACTGAGACTCAGCCTTCTGGCTTCTGGGCTCTTCATGGGGGACAGGGACAGGGGGTGATGGCGGGGGGGGGAGCTAAGGTCAGTCACATGGTAGTTTCTAGAAGGGCAGTTAGGCCAAAGGGTTGACCAAGAGTCTGGGTTTGGCTGTGTTTAGTAAAGACAAAGCAGGGAACACTTGTGTGTGACTGTACACGCCAGATGCCTGTTCTCACTGGGGACTCAGTGAAGGTGTGGACCATGCCGTCCACGTGTTGGCTGGGCCTCGTGCTGTTAGTGGACCACAGCCTTCATTCTCAAAGACCCTTTTGCTGTGGGCAGCATGGCCGGTAGGGGGATATGTGGCCTTGACCCAGAGAATTGGGGTGATGGGGGCCCAGGTAGATGACACCCAGAACTTAGATTTTCTCTTCCTCTCTAGGATAATGGCTCTAGGCGTGTCCTTCGGGCTGGTGGCCTGCATGCTGGGACTGGTGCTGGGCCTGTGCTTTGCCAGTGAACTCTTGGTGAGTGGGGGCCTGGCCCCATGGCCCCTTTCTTCCTGGTGAGCCCCTGACTCTGGTTGGGGACCAGGTGCTTACCTCCCTGTCTTGGGGACAGTTTGCAGAGTACCCTGGAGGCTCCTCTGCGGGTTCTGCCTCCCCAGGTCTTGTCCCGGTTGTTGGTTCTGGCTGACTTGACCCTATTACTCCACAGCGGTGCTGTCCAGCCCGGGGAGTGCTTCGGGTCATCTCTCAGAGGGTGGAGACACAGCCCCTGCTGAGGCTGTCCCTGGCCGTCCTGACCATCAGCAGTGTGCTCACTGTCGCCATCATCAACCTGGTCAGTCCTGGGCACCCCCTGCCTGCTGCGCGCCTCCTGGGTGGGGGGAACCCATCAGTGACCCTGGGTCCTCTCGAGTCCCACAGTTGCCAGAACGCTGCCCTCCCGAGTGCTGCCCCTGTGGGCCCAGGGCTCCTCAGGCTTTAGTTTTCCAGTGAAGATTTGGGGTACTTGGAGAGTGTGGGTGACCCACCCTGGAAAGATGTGATGTCTTGAGCCTCCATGACGTCCTGACATTCCGTGCTTTCTTCAGGACCCCTGAGCAGGTCCTCCTTGCCCCTCTGGGGCTCACTGTCCCCCTGGCCCATGCTGGAGTGCTCACTGCTGCAGAAGGCACTGGGAGCGTGTGTGCCATGTCCCCAGCAGCTCCTGTCCTGGGACTTTCCAGAGCTGCAGAATGTGGAGTGTGCTCCTGGGACCGCAGCCCTTAGGGTCACCCATGGACAAGGGGCTCATTGAAAGTGCTAATCCTGTCCCCCTCCACTGTGTATGAGACATACACACTGCCCAGCCCTGGCTGCTGTGGGGAGTCAGCCAGGGCTGCTCAGGGTGGCCCTCAGAGCTGCACTTGGCCGGGAATGCCAGCCTCCTGTGATGTGATGCTCAGAGCCCTGTGTCCTGGACCCGACCCTCTCTCCTCTGTAGCCACTGACACCTTTCTCCACCCTGGAGATGCCTGGTGGCAACCAGACGACCCTGCTGGATGAGGGCAGTGGGGAGAGGGCCCTGTGTGAGCGCCTCCTCTCGGTGAGTGCGTATGTCTCAGGCTCCGAGCAGCCCTGGACCCTGCCTGGCACTATGGGTCCTCATGCGGACCATTCCACTGAGCCTGCAGTGGAGGTCATGGTTGCAGGAGCTGAGTCCAGGAGACAGGGGGGAGCAGGGCCCAGACAGGCTGCCCAGGGCTCCGTGCCAGGAGCACAGAGCCTGTGGTCTAAGCTGTGCAGGGTGAGTAAGGACTCTGGTTAAGCCTCAGCTGTGCCCATGGGTGTCCACCCCTCACCTCTCTGGCAGGCCCTGGCTGTCTCCATTTTACTCACACGTGTATGAAGCTCAGGGAGGCACACAGATTAGATCCATAGGTAGCCCTGGATCCATAGGCTGAGGAAAGGAGTTAACAGGTGTGCAGTGTTGGGGGGACACCAGGGTGCGGCTACGCATTGAGCTGGCGTCTAAAGGGCAGAAAGGCTATGAGGTAGGGAGAGGCAGAGGCAGTGTGAGGAGAAGCTAAGGTGGGTGCTGAGAGCAGTGGGTTTCAGGTGGTTTGTGTCATAGGGAGGGGGTGAGAAGGTGAAGCCAGAGAGGCAGGTGTGACCCACATCAGGGCGCAGCGGGGTTCTGGGTGAAGAATGTGGTCCTCATTCTGGAGGCAGTGGGAGCCCCAGCATGCTCTTGAGCAGGAGGGAGGCACTTGGTGAAGGGCTGGCTCACAGCAGCACCTGGGGCAGGTGGGGCTGTCGGGCCTGTGCCTGCTCCTGTCTCAACCTTTGTCATGTCCCCTGTGTCATTTACTTCTGTGAGAAATAAAAATATAGTGAAACACACTGAGGAAGACACAGATTTCATCACCTGCTGTTTGTTGAAAAGGGAGGCAGCAAGGCTGGGAAGAGCTGGGCCTCAGGCTCCATGCTGACCTGCCTCGGGACAGCGGCTGTGAGTGGGTGGGTTAGGGCCGAGGCCTCTGTCCCTTTAGTGACTGCTGGGCCCAAGCCGTGCCTTTTGGGGACAGGAGATGGTGGGGGATGAGTGACCTTTGCCAGCTGATGCCCCCCCCGGCCACAGTATTATACCTGCAGCTGTGTCCTGGGCCTCTTCACCTGTTCTGTCTTCCTGCGCATGAGCCTGGAGCCCAAGGTCGTGCTGTTGACTGTGGCGCTGGTGGCCTACCTTGTGCTCTTCAACCTGTCCCCATGCTGGCAGTGGGACTGCTGTGGCCACGTTCTGGGGAACCTCACCAACACTAGCCACACCCTCAGGTGGGTCCCACGCAGTGTACTGCCAGGCCCTGTCCTGCTGCCACCTCCACCGCGGCCCATTCTGATTCGGGGCCTGCTCAAACTGAGGTGCTAATGCACTCACAGCCTGATGGACTGCAGACTCGTGGATGGGATGGGCAGGTGGCACGGTTTTCCTTTCAAAAGGGACAGTGACTTGCCCAGATCCTCGGTTTCCACCATGCAGAGCTGAGGAGTGCAGCTCATGGGCGGCCTCTTTGGGAAATCCCTGGTCTGACAGAGCCCACAGGTGTCCTGTTTCTGGGCCAGTCCATGGGTGGAGGAGGAGGGAGACTTCAGCTCCAGCTCAGGCCCTCTCTCTGGGCCGTGTCCTAGGTCTCCTGTCATTCCTGAACAGGTGGTGATACCTGAGGCACAGTAAGGTTCTGCGAGGCTCTGGGGGCTCTGGGCCCCGGGCCCCACGTGGGTTGAGGAGAGGGCCTGGCTCCCCTTAACTAAGGGCCAAAAGCCTGGGGACCCAGAGCGGGATATGCTGCTCTGGGTCTGGCTCCCACCTACAACACCCTTATGCCAAACTACCAGTCCGTGCCCCTGCTGGCCTTGCCCTAGGTCACCATGGGGAGCTCTTGGCTCCTTTCAGGCCTCCCTGGGCTGATCATCATTTGGGAGAGCTCAGAGGTCACCCCGTGAGGCCTCCCCCTTTCCCTCATTGCTTTACAACTGCCCCTTGTTAGAAGTGTTACCACCTCCTCTAGTTTGGGGCACGTGGCACCTGGAGGGACAGTGACAGGACATGGCAGGTGGGGGTGGGTGGGCGCTGGTGGTGACTCCAGCCTCCTCTCATATCCAGTGGTGTCCCCAGCTGTTCCTGGAAGGATCTGAAGACCATGATCAATTTCTACCTGGTCCTGTTCTATGCCACCCTCCTCATGCTCTCCAGACAGGTACAGCCAAGGGTGGCGGGTGCTGAGCTCTGAGGCAGGGCAGCAGGCAGGCGACAGCAGTCTTGCCGGAAAGTTCTGGCCCCCTAACCAGGGGCTCCAAGTGAATGTCCTCGTCTCCCCTGGGGCACAAGGGACAGGCTGACCTGATTGGAGATGCCAGTCGCACTGTTCATGCAGCAGCTGGCCCAGCAGCCCTGAGGGTCACAACTGTGCCCTGCTCAGCCCCTCAGTCTGGCTTTGCCCTTGCAGACAGGACACTGATGCTTCTTGCAGATTGACTATCACTGCCGCTTGGACTGTCTATGGAAGAAGAAATTCAGGAAGGAGCATGAGGAGTTTGAAACCATGGAGAATGTGAACCGCCTCCTTCTAGAGAATGTCCTGCCAGCCCACGTGGCAGCTCACTTCATTGGTGACAAGTTAAATGAGGTGTGGTGGGGAGCTTGGTGAGAGGGTGGGGAGGCTGGAGGTGCAGGCTGGGGCATGTTCCCAGGGTGTCAGCTGTAGGCCAAGGACTCCACTGTGCTCCTGGGCAGTCCCTGCTCCTGTGCCCGTTGCACCCTGTAAAGTGGGCTGACAGCACTTACCCTGAAGGGCTGTCCCACTGTGCTGCTGGGCAGGCCCCGCTCCTGTGCCTGTCGCACTCTGTGAAGTGGGCTGACAGCACTTACCCTGCAGGGCTGTTGAGAGGACACGTGTTCTGGTGCTTGTAACCTGGATGTTCTGTATTGAAGAAAATGTGTTTGTACTAGTTCCATGTGGCAGGGAGTTTTCTAGATGACAAAACCAAGGCTAGTGACTAGCTTAGGGTGGAGGCCTGACCTTGCTGCTCCCCAGCGGTCCTCAGCCCTGGCTGTGACTGAAGAAAATGTATTTCTATGGTGCCCAGAAAAGCAGAAAACCAGAGCCTGGTATCCCCCCAACCTACTGCTTCAGGATCATTCCATGTTTTATCAGCCCCCTATGACCCCTGTGCAGTCCCCTCAACCCCCTGAAAACCTGACCCAGCGGTTCAGTGCCCTCTCCTCCTGGGGCCTCCCCACACCTTGACGGTTTCCCCTCGAGAGGCAAAGTGGACACAGGTCCGTCTCTTCCCACTGCACCCAGGACTGGTACCATCAGTCCTACGACTGCGTTTGTGTCATGTTCGCCTCGGTGCCCGACTTCAAAGTGTTCTACACGGAGTGCGACATCAACAAGGAGGGGCTGGAGTGCCTGCGCCTGCTCAACGAGATCATCGCAGACTTTGATGAGGTGCACAGCCAGCCACAGGCAGCTCACCTGTGCTGGGGGGCAGGAGGTGGCACGGGGGTGGGGTCAGCTCACCTGTGCTGGAGGGCAGGAGGGTGGTGCAGGGATGGCTCACCTGTGCTGGGGGCAGAAGGGTGGTGCAGGGGGCAGCTCGCCTGTGCTGGGGTGCAGGAGGCTGCATAGGACGGGGCAGCTCACCTGTGCTGGGGGGGCAGAAGGGTGGTGCAGGGGGCAGCAGCTCACCTGTGCTGGGAAGCAGGAGGGTGGTGCAGGGGGCAGCTCACCTGTGCTGGGAAGCAGGAGGGTGGTGCAGGGGGCAGCTCACCTGTGCTGGGCGGCAGGAGGGCAGCCCACAACCCAGTTACAAAGTACAACATGGCTCCCTTGAGGGGAAAAACCCCCAAAGTATAAGAGGCACACATTTGTCTTTCTCATTCCATTTTATTCAGCAAGTATTTTGTTGACATCTTTTCTGTGAGGGCAGCTTGTGCTTTGTACAACAGTTTGGGTCCCAGTTAAACCTCAGATGGGGCTTAATTCTTTGCTAGAGACAAATCGCCCACCTATCTGTGTAAATAATGCTGAGCTGTGTGTTTCTCCTTAGCAAGGATGAGCTAAAGGACAGGCTGGGATGAGGGAGGTGAGTGTTGGGGAGATGCAGGTAATAGGAAAAGCAGGGGCCAAGACCGCGTCCCCATGTGCTCTTAGCCCTGAGTACAGGTGGAAGGGCCACAGGAGCCCTCCATGCTCCCCAAGAAGCTGGAGCAGGTCCTGCCTCACTGCTCCCTGTCTTACAGTTGCTGCTGAAGCCCAAGTTCAGCGGTGTGGAGAAGATCAAGACCATTGGCAGCACATACATGGCCGCTGCAGGGCTCAGCGCCACCCCAGGGCACGAGAACCAGGTACTCAGACCTTACCTGAGAGAATTCAACAGTCCCCTGACCTAGCGTCTTGCTTAAAGGGGGGGTGCCTCCTGGTCTTGTCTGGGAAGAGCAAAGGTACTAGAAAGGCTCAGCCTGGACAGTTGTGGTCCCTTTGTGGGGATACAGGAGCCCTGTGGAGGAGCCTCTAGTGAGTCTGCCACCAACGGTGTACCCCCTAGGCCAGGGGGCTGGGCAGCCGGAGAGCAGATGCACCCCAGGGTGGAGGGTGTGGCGGGGCTGCCCACGGCCGTGCTCTGCCCCCAGGCCCTGGAGCGGCAGCACGCCCACATCGGCGTCATGGTGGAGTTCAGCACTGCCCTGATGAGCAAGCTGGACGGCATCAACAGGCACTCCTTCAACTCCTTCCGCCTCCGAGTCGGTGAGGGCCTGGGCGGCGGCGGGGCAGGCATGGGGGGTGCGTGCAGTGCAGTCTCTGCCCCCAGGCTGGCCCACCTCCATCTATGTGGTGAGCCATGCTCTGCCATCTATTATGGAGAGTTTTAGAAACCCTCTGATCTGACAAGCCCAGTGGCTGGCCTGGGTAATATTCAGAGCTTTACTTACTGCTTATATAGTTACTTTTGAAGTGTTAGATAAATAAGAATCTATCACCACAGAAAACGGAGAACCAGAGTCACACCTGTTAAGTAGATGACCTTAAAATACAGAGAACAAAACAAAGTTGTAAAATCTAACTAGTCACCATTAGCCAAAAGGCTGTGTTCAAAGCCTGGGCGTGTCAAGAGTGAAATCAGCAGACAGCATGTAAGGGTTACATCAAACCCAGGCTTCAGGAATACTGGAAAGTCTGCAGGAGCTCTGGTGGGGCAGGGGATGCCTTTCTCACATCCCAGGCATAACCCCTGGCCAAAGCTGCCCCAACCTAACTTTTGTTTCAGTTGTTTTCTTCTGTGCTTGGGGTGGATTTTGTGGCCTCCCCTTAAGGGTAGAAGCCTGAGGTTTTGCCTGTATGACCAGCCAACTGTCAGCATTGTCTTCAGGCATAAACCATGGGCCTGTGATTGCTGGAGTGATTGGGGCTCGAAAGCCTCAGTACGACATCTGGGGCAACACAGTCAATGTGGCCAGCCGAATGGAGAGCACTGGGGAACTTGGGAAAATCCAGGTAAGAGCCCACTGGGGAAGCACATGGCCAGAGGGAAGAGGGCCTGGGCTCCAGCTGCCACATCCCCAGGGGGAGGGTGCATGCTGATCACACCCTGCAGCTCTCTGTCCCTTCCACAACAGGGGCCCTCCTGCCTCTGAAGACATAGGGTTCTTTTCCTTTTCAGGTTACTGAGGAGACATGCACCATCCTCCAGGGCCTAGGTTACTCTTGTGAATGTCGTGGGCTAATTAACGTCAAAGGCAAAGGTGAACTTAGGACTTACTTTGTCTGTACGGACACTGCCAAGTTTCAAGGGCTGGGGCTGAACTGAGGGTTTCTGCTGGGCTCATAACAAGCTGGGAAGCTGGTTTCCTTCCCTGAAGCAAGCCCAGGAGAAGACAGCCCCACGTCAGTGACAAAGGCACTCAGAGGGCGTGGCCATTGCCACCTCTGGGCAGGTGGCTGTGTGGAGCTCCTCTGGACTTGGGCTAGAGGATTTGTTGGACCTGCACATCTGACCCTGGCGAGAGGCGACTACTGAGCGGTGATACACAGTGGCAGCCAGAATCTCTGGTGGCGGAGAGGGCTCGTGGGTGCAACCGCTGTACTTGTTACCTTGAGATCTTTGCTCCCTGAGGGACTGTGGAGGCGTCTTAGAACACGACCAAAACAGACGTCTACATCAGTGGCCCGTGAGCATGTCCAGGAGAGGCCTGCTCAGTGGGCGCAGAGGCAGACTGTGCTGACTGCATGCAGGTGCCCTTCTCCCTAGCAGGCCGGGCTGGGGGATTCTGTTTCTCACATAGGCATTCTGGCAAATGGAACTGGAAAGGATTCTACATCTGTAATGGTTTCTAACAGTACAGAGAGAGAAAGATGAACATCATTACTTCTTGTCGTCTCTGGCCTGTTTGTCTTAAATGGAGACATTAGTAATGGGGTTTTGTTCTTTCTGATGGCTTCTCAGGACACTAGACAGTCTCTTCCTCCAGTGTATTCTTTGCCTTTCTAACCACTGACAGGTGAGCAGCACTGCTGTGAGGGTGGAGTCTGAGGCCTGTGGCTCACAGTGAGAAGGGCAGGGGCAGTGTGGCCACAGTGCTACACTAGGTGACTGAGGCAGCACTCGGGTCAGGTTCAGTATGTGAAAGCCTGGAGGTAAGTGGCGACCTCTTAGCTCTGCCCTGACTGCTCAGGCAGTTTTGAGCCCCCTGCAATCTTCCAAGTATCTGTAAATGGTTTCAAACATTAGAGAATAGATGAACATGTATTACATTCCAAGCATGTCTTTCAGTTTTACTGGACAGGAATGGAATCGACAGAGAACTTGAACCACCTGTTCGTACTTCCTTCCTAGTTTTTAGTCTTTGCTGCTAACTCTGGAGAGCTTAAAACTAGAAGGACCCACTCAGTGTGAGCACACGTGAAGGTTCCTGTACTTGGGAAGCTGGTCCTCTTACAAGTGCCGATGTTCTTGTTTTAAATCCAAATGCGTCAAGGCAGATACAAAGCCAGGCGGTAAGACGGCCCCTCACCCTGCTTCAGACTCCACAGGGAACGGGAAGATGCCAGCCTGTTTCAAGGTGCTACCAAGCTACGCATTCTTTTTCTGAACTGATGAGACCACTGGTGTAACTTCCAGCTGTGACGTCAGCAGAGTGTCCCCAGGATTCCTAATACAACATGCCTCCCTGTGTAGGAGGGATTCTTAGCCAGACATCACCCATGAAGTTACACAGAAAACCCTGCACCCAAGAGCCTCCAAAGACCATGGAGGGCTGCAGACTGTGACTGACCAGGTCCTGGTCCTTGTCTACCTGGACTCAGGAGGTCCTGAGAAGGGTTGCTATCCCAGATTTGTCAGCTCAGGGAGGTGGGTTGACCGATCTGCGTGAAGGTGCCGGGTGCAGCAGTAGCAGCGGCCCTGCTGTGCTGCCTGTTAACTGGAGGTCAGTCTTGAGAGCTCGCCATGTAAAGGAATTTAATGGTAAAAATGCTGATAAGGGAAATAAGCCTCACTTATCTGCCCTTTTCATACACCTTTTCACGTAAAGAGCTGATTTCAGTGAGTACACTACTGAAATCTGTGCTCTCAAAATCTAGGGGTGCCCAGGCTCCCGGGGCTCCCCTGAAGTCAGGAAGGCTCTGTTGCTGATGTGACACAGGTGGGTCCGGGCACAGGGCTGCTGAAGTCGGCGTGTTTTGTCTCTACCCCTGCAGTTATTTAAGTTGCCCTTTCCTTCAGTAACAGAAATCCCAGTTGGGAGATTTAAAAGATGATTGGTTACCATTCATCTGTTTTTCTTTATTTCCAACCAAAGCACTGTGCTCAGATAGAAGTATTTTAAGCTTTTAGTTATCAGTGTTTAGGTCACAGTGTGTAACAGACCATAACAATCACCTGCAGTTATTTATTTACAAATCTGTTTTCAAATTATCAAGTAAATTTTTCACTGTTTTGTTTTATGAAAGAAACAAGTATTTTCTAACAATGACCTTCTCTATGGGTCAAGGACTTAAAATTTCCCCTACAGTGACCACTGACTGGCAAATGTAATACCTGAAGTTTTCTGGTTTACTTATTAAGAAAATTTCCTAATAGAAAAGATGATCATTAACCACTGTATACTTTATGTATATAACAGGTCAGCATACAGAAAACATACAAGTAAGTAGAGTTTATTCTGTACACTGAGATCTATAATGTGTTTCAAAATGCTGTGACCCGTCTGTATACGGTACCAGTGTTTAGCTGCTTTTTATACATTAAATTAGCAATTTAGAAAACCTCAATATCCTAAAGGTGTTGTGAATTTAAATCTCTTCTTGGTCTTGAGGAATTTACCCAAGCAGATCTGGTTGCCCCCTAAATTAGACAGGGTGGCCCTTGTATTTTAGAGATTAGATCCTAAAAAGATTTGGTAAAAATACATTTGAACTTTTAAGTCTCAGCATAATTAATTTTCCTTCACTCTACCCCCCTCCCCCAAATAGCTTCTTGCCTGGGTGCTCACAGGATGATTCTGTATAAACATCTTAGAACTTAAATTTGTTCACCAGACTAGGCTATATCCATCCTGAATTTTTCCCTGCATTTTATTTTCAACAGGAAAAGTTATTCATTTTAGCACCATGATTAGTGATAGGAAGGGACATGTCTCAGGGTCTCCAACGTAAATAACTAAACTTCTCGTGCACTTGACCTTTGTATTTCAGATGAAGAACTGTAGATGGGACACAGACTTTCATTTGAACTCACAATTCCCTAATGTACTCAAGTATGATTTGGTTTATCTTACTTGGCGTATTCCTTTGCTATAATTCTACATAACTCTTTAAAAAAATGGAAAAAACAATACCAGACATATTATAGCACTATAAACTCTTAGCTTTTTTTTTTTTTTTTTTTTGGGGGGGGCTGGAGGGACCTAATTATCCTACCCAAGACCATCATTCCCACCAGGCATGCAGAGGGCAGAACCAAACCACTGCATTGGAAAGTTGTTGTGTGTTTGTATAACCTTAGGGACCGGCTGGGAGGGACCCCGTGTAATGTTTCTTAGTCGTGGTCTTGAGATGGAAGGAGGAAGTACGGGGTGATGGCAACACCCCCAACCTAAATTCCTTCCTCATAAGGGTCATTTTTTAAAAATAGCAAGAGGAGAGCTGGTAAGTTTGAAATATAATTTCTTCAATGGGGAATATGGCAAATGTGAGAAATGAATGATTCTATTATTTGGGGGCTTGGCTTCTCTTCCTGGGTGACCTTGAGAAAGGCCGTTTTGTTCCTTGAGCTTCTCCATCTCAGGGTAGCCGGGGGAAAGGGCGCGGGTGGCTCACTGATAAACAGACTCCTCTCAGAGTCTCAGGTTCAGCTTTATTACCTAATGTAAGTCTAATCTCTGGAACACTAAAATTGACTGTTCCAAAGTTTAATTAAAAACACAATTTACAAATATTTAATATCTTCTGAAAAGCATTTCCAAGAATGAAAAAAATATGTACATAATATATAATTAAATACCAGCTGGCTTCAGATCCCATCAGGGCCACCCTCAGCAACATCAGCCTTTTTAGGTTCTTCAGAATCTGAAAGAGAAAGATACCAATTTCATTCAGCATTTTTTCCCTTTTAATTAGAAAAGATAAGTGAAGACAAAGCTCTCATCCTGGGGAGTAACTGTGCGTTACTCACCACACCCAGGGTCAGGCCCAGGTGAGCAGGAGGTAATTACTGCAGCTTTCTGGCAAATGTTGAGATCTTTATTCTTTGGACATTACAGAAAGAAAACCAAAAGTAGCTATATATAGCAAGAACAGAGACAAATTCTATCCAATGTTATTTGAAAGAAGAGGATGGATGTTCCTTCTACAATCATAGCTTTCTCTATCTGCAGGTTCCATACTTGCAGATTCAAACTATGACTGTTAAAAATGATACCAAAAAATACAGTCTAATTTTTTTTGCCCTAACATGTTCTAACTATTTACAGTGTTTACCCTGTAGTAGGCATAGGTAAGTATACAGGAGGATGAAGTTCTATGCAACTATACCACTTTATATCAGGACTTGAATACCCACGGATTTTGGTATTGTTGTATGTTTTAGAAACAACCCCAGCAGATGCTGAGAGATGACTGTCCTCAAAGGGCCTTTCAGTCTTGCAGAGAAACCGAGCACGTACCTTCTGTTAAATCTACAAAGTTGTTTTCTACCACCGGGGAAGGAATGGAAATCCCCATTGCTTTCCGAACTCCATACGTGCTTACGACGTCACCTGGAGTTACTTGCTGTGCAAGTTCTTTAAGATTATTGGTCACTTGTTCAGCTAAAAGAACAAAAAACAGTTCCATGTATTGAAAAGTCATTCCAGTAGATATTTTTTTAAAAACCCAAAAGGAAAGCAAACAAAATCAAACTGTCCCTGGCATGCATTTCAGCATTCCTTTCCAGGGGCCTCACTGCTGTCCTATGAAGTGTTTTCCCTTTAAGCACTCCCTGATTCTCCTCTGACTGGAGGTGCAACATACCGAGATGCATTTCTTTATACGAGGGACCCAAGAGACAGATCATGTTGGGAGGGGGTCTGGTGCTCAAACGCTCATTCTGGGCTTCCTGGAGCTCCCTGAGCAATTTGGTGGTCTCATCAAGTTTCTTCTGGAACACTTCAGCTTCTGGGTGGTAAGAAAAAGAACAAAGAAAACACGGACGCACTGGAGTAATCCCCCTGCAATGGCATCCACTCCATGGTTTACATTCATTAACTTGGTTAGCCAAGGTTCTCCCGTGGTGAATGGCACGTTAACCTGAACGAATGTGACAGTAATCTTGACAGAAACATTTCATCATGTAGGCAGGCAAAGACTGGAGACACTCACCTTCAGAGTCAAAGACTTCAACTGGAGCACCAAAGCTTGTCACTGCTTTGAGTGCCGTGAGCCTGTCCTGAGTACTGGAGTCCAGACGTCCTGCTGACTCTATTTCTGTAATCTGCTTCAAAAACAAAAAGGCAATTATTTGAGCTTGCTTAGTCATGATAGTGCTAACTAGAAAATATTAAAATTGTTTATATGCAAAGTTATTCTACCTATTTACTTTGGGGTCTTAATTTTGATGCTTACATAAAAGGTCTTTTGAGAACACCTTTAAAATGCTATTTCCAAATCTTGGCAAAAAAAGTGTCCATAAATTCATGCTTGTCCGTAATGTACTGATGTGTCTTAGACAACGTGTGTCCTTTGTTTCATATGGAAACCATTCTAAAGATAAAACAAGAGCCCTATTACCGCCTAAATGAGCCCTATTACCGCCTAAATGATGAAGAGCTTTTGGTGATCATGACAATGGATTTTTCTGCTTGCATTCCTACGGTAGATCTGTAACATGAGATGCTTCCTGGGTCTCCTCCAGGCTCCAAAACTAGTGTCAGTATTGCACAGGAGAAGAAGAGGTGAGTTTTATTTTTGTTATAAGACACAGTTTTGTATCTACCTGGATGGAGTTAGAATGTTCTCCTTAGTAAAGTAAGGGAAAGCAAGCACAAAAATCAGTAGATGAACAACTACAGGCCCACCTGAGAAAAACAATTATACTCCCGTGGGGCGAGGGGGGGACAGGGGCCTAGTCAGCTCCTGCCTAATGGGCACAATGTAGGGTCTGTGGCACAGCTCCTGGGTGAAGGACTCGACTACACCCCGAGATGCTACCTAACAAATGCAAACAATGGGTCCTTATATAATCTGGGGGGAAAAGTACTAATGCCTGAATCGTGAAAATAACTAAGTAAGGCTTTTCTCATTTAGTCCTTCTAGCTCAGTATCCATATAAATATTTCTTATAAAGAATAAAATATAATTACAAACCAGAACTTTGAACTCAGCACCTCCGATTAACTTCTCATCTAAGGTACCTGTTGTCAAATAAAGTGTTTAAATAAAAAGAATAAAACTTAATCACCTCCATTTCCTTTGCTGTGTTAAGTGTCCTCGCATGACCTTCTTCTTCAGGAAAACAACTCTGTATGAAAACACATGCAAAGGCAAATTACCAAGGAAAATACTATCAAGACTTTAATGGCACCAGAAAAGGAATAAGAATATGGACTCTGGGAATATGATTTTTTAAACTGAAATGAATGTAATTATTAGCATTTCAGAGTATTATGAGTTGGTCTTTATAACTAATTTTAAAAGCTTATTTGCATGTTTAAGAAGGTATTTTGGTAACTAGTATATAAATACCTAAATAAATGGAGTCTGTTTTCAACAGCAGGTAAATCTCTGACAAGGAAAAGACAGGAAGGAACTCTAGGGACTACTTGGCATTAACACAGCGATGTTCTCCCACAGGGAAGGACTGGAAATAGGTAAAGGCTGCAGACAGTGTGGGAGCCCACGACCCTGCTCTTCAGAGGCCACGCGTGTATACGTCAACAGACACCAACCACTAATCAATTTTTCTTTTTCTTTTTTTTAAAGACAAGGTTTTGCTACAGCTCCCTGATTAGTGATGTCAGCCTAGCTCACAGCAATCTCAAACTCCTGGGCTCATGAGTTGCTCCTGTCTCAGCCTCCCAAACAGAAGGGACAAGTGCCTGCCACCATACCCAGCTAATTTTTTAATTTTTAGTAGAGACAGGGTCTTGCTCTTGCTAGTCTTGAACTCTTGGCCCCAAGTGATTCTCTTACCATGACCTTTCAAATCGCTAGGATTACAGGTGCAAGCCACCGAACAATGGTCCCAATTTCTAAAAATGATAAAACTTTTTCTAAGATAATTTTTAAGAGTAATTTGATACTGATGGATCAAAAGAAACACTTTACTTTTTGAAACACACTTCCAATATTCACCAAATGAAAAATATTCAATTTTAGTTAGACCACTAATTAATCCAGCTTAATGGGAAAGAGTATAAAAATTTTAAATTGACATAAAGTTTAGTATTTTTTAGGTTATGTGAAGAAAGCAGTTCATGTGCTAGACTTTTATAGCAGTCATCACTGAACCCGACCTGCAGACTGACCTTAGCTGTGCTGACAGGTGACCCAGAGTACAAGGCACTGCAACCACAGCTATCATTATGGTTCTGATCTCCAAGAGATAAAGGCTTCCTCCAACTGTGGTAACAAGAACATTCGGAGATCAATTCTCCTCTGCATCAGTAGGAATATTTTCTGGTTCTAATCTTTGAGTCAGGAACTCAGA